CATTTTCAGTGTTATGGATAAAGTAATATTAGTCGCAATCTCTTTTGACAGATTTTTTGGACGACCAAAAGCTAAGATTATTTAATTATTTATGAATGACAGCATTGGAATCAAAATGCTAAATAATAATGCTATGTTTTTTAAGAGCACATTTAACTCTCCAGCATTCACCGAATTAAATTTACGTGAAAACTGCTAATTGTAAAAATTAAGTATATACTGCACAGTATTCAGTACATAGTAAGTAAGTATTCCATTCTGAACACAGACGCAGTCACATACAGTACTTGCAGAGAAGCAGTGGTCCACACTGAAAAGATCATATAAGGGAGATAAACTAAAATTAATATATGGATGTCTGGATGTCTGTACTTATGTGTGTGTGTGTAGAAATAACATAAAGCAGTTCAGAGAGGGAAGGACAGAGAGAGCAGCTTAGTAAACTAACCTATCTTATTTTTCCCATATTGTAATATTTCTATACAATGCATTATTACATTTCAAATCAATACCTGAATTATATTGTTTTACTGTTTATAATAAGTAACAATCAGTTTCCAGTGTGATGGTAATTTGTAATGTTAGAGTATTTAAAAAAAATATATAGTCATTTGTCTACTCTGATTAATTTGTTTTGAGACTAATTAGCCGTAATTGATTTGATGATAATTAGTATTGTCCGTCTCTGGTCCCCAGCCTAAACGTGTCGCCGGGGAAACGAGGGGTGGCGGGTGGCTGGAGGCGGAGCTTAGCTAGGTGAGTGACACATGCAGACAGTTATCACGCAGCATGTGCTGTCTTAACGAGCTACTTAGCAATGCAAATCCGCTTAATTAGCACGTATGTTGTTATTTAGGTGTTCTCTGTCTGAATTAAAGACCAAAGAGCTAGTGTCTGGAGACAAGTTTGTGTGCATGTGTGTGTATGACTGCGTATTTAACAAAGCTTGTGTGTACGCCACGTTTTTCTATATATGTAAATATATTCATTATTATACACTTTTTCTTTGCACATTTTCTACTCTATGCTTGCATTAGCTATATTACAAGTTCAGGTTTTGGAAAATAACAGCCATAAATTATTCTGCTTCTGTCATTTTTCTCTCTCTTTCTACTCCCCCCCCATTCTCTCTCTCTCTCTCTCTCTGTCTGTCTCTCGCTCTCTCTTTCTCTCTCTCTCTCTCTCTCTGTCTGTCTCTCGCTCTCTCTTTCTCTCTCTCTCTCTCTCTCTGTCTGTCTCTCGCTCTCTCTTTCTCTCTCTCTCTCTCTCTCTGTCTGTCTCTCGCTCTCTCTTTCTCTCTCTCTCTCTCTCTCTGTCTGTCTCTCGCTCTCTCTTTCTCTCTCTCTCTCTCTCTCTGTCTCTCTGTCTGTCTCTCTGTCTCTCTCTCTCGCTGTAGGATGTGATGTTGGTAGGAGAGCCCTCTCTAATGGGAGGGGAGTTGGGTGACGTGGACGAGCGTTTGATCACACGCCTAGAGAACGAACAATACGACCCCGTCAACGGTCTCCATGATGACAGTCTCCATGACTACACCGACTCACCGACACTTGGAAACGGCAGCTCCTGGAACGGCCAGCACCCTAGCAACCAGGACAGTAAGCCTGATACCATGGCAATGCAGCAGTTGGAGTAATGTTATCTGACAGTGGGTAGCTATGGCAACGGTGCTGTCAAGGGATGGGGGTATTTTCATCTATAGAGGAGAAATTGCTGGAGAGAGGTGTGTGTGCATGCTTGCGTTTATGTTGGTGTGACACGGTATTCCATACTTGAGACATACAGCTTCAACCATTTAGTTTAAGTATTCCAAAAAAAGAAAAAAGAAAAAAAACAACAACTGCAAGCCTTGTAAATATACAGATCTATCAGTTCATTTCATATCAGACTTTTTCAGCCTTTTTTAAAGCTCAGTGGATGTCTCGGCTTCATTCTGTACGTACCGTACTGTTTGGTTTCGCTACAACAACTTAATGAAAAAAGTCCCATTGTGAGCATAAATGCAGATATCTTTATTGTTCTACAGTTTAATGCATATTGTAAAACACATGCAGATCTGTGCTGTTAGTTGTGTATTTTATGTATAGTTTTCAATCATTTGCATTAATAAAATGTGTTTGGCTATGACATCAGACTCTGTGTGTTAATGTGTTATAAAAAATAAAATAATCGAGGGCACAGAGTGTTTTTATAGTTTTAATCTAAAAAGTGGCAAAGCTATGTTTTTAATTCTATGACGTTAAAGGGTTAGTTCACCCAAAAATGAAAATTAGCTTGTGTTTTACTTACCCTCGAAGCATCCTAGGTGTATATGACTTTCTTCTTTCAGACAAATCCAGTCTGAGTTATATAAAAAATTGTCCTGGCTATTCCAAGCTCTATCACTGCAGTCAGCGGGTGTTGCAGTTGAACAGTCCACAAGTCGTCAAATAAAGCTCGCGCAGATGGCTCCGGGGGATGAATAAAGGCCCCCTGTAGTGAATCCATGTGTTTTTGTAAGAAAAATATCCATATTTCAAATGTAATAAACACTTTTCTCTCACTTCCGCTGACTGTCATACACTGAAGCCGTTCCGGCGGATGACGTAAGACGCGCGGCGTTGCGTGATTAGTGATGAATGCAAAACAAAACGCCAGTCATGAATTAGAATTACAAACTGAAGATTTGCAAAGAAAAATGTCGGAGGATTTCCATTTAAACCAAGAGGAGACTGGTTTTCCTTTGCTAAAGTAAGGAAACTTTGCTTCCTTTGCTCCTTTTAAACAAACTCGCGAGACTAGCATACCTCAGAGGCGCGCGCGCTGCGCATACATCAGCCGCCGGAACGGCTTCAGTGTATGACAGTCAGCGGAAGTGAGAGAAAAGTGTTTATTACGTTTGAAATATGGATATTTTTCTTACAAAAACTCATGGATTTGCTACAGGGGGGCCTTTATTCATCCCCTGGAGCCATCTGTGGCACGTTTTATTATGAATGCGCGAGCTTTATTTGACGACTTGACTGTTTATTTGACTGTTCAACTGCAACACCCGCTGACTGCAATGATAGAGCTTGGAATAGCCAGGACAATTTTTAATATAACACCGACTGGATTCGTCTGAAAGAAGAAAGTCATATACAACTAGGATGCTTCGAGGGTAAGTAAAACACAAGCTAATTTTCATTTTTGGGTGAACTAACCCTTTAATACCAAAATAAATAAATAATGCATAAATAAATATCTGAATATCCCCCCCCCTCTAGTGGTCAAAGAAATGTGGTACACATTCACCCTAAAATTAAAATTCTGTAATTTATTCATCCTCACATTGTTCCAAACGCATATGACGTTCTTTCTTTAATATATTTTGAGAAATGTTGGTACCCAAACAGCATTGGTGACCATTGACTTCCATTATATGTGCAAAAAAATTAAAATTAAATAAATAATAATAATAATAAAATACTGGGACATTTCTCAAAAGAAGTCACACAGGTTTGAAACGACATGAGGGTGAATAAATAATGACAGAATTTTCATTTCTGTGTGAACTGCCATTTTAACATTTGTAAATTTATGTCGTTATATTATTTTGACACTGAAAAGTTGCTTTTCTGCTCTTGCTGCTCGACTCGAGGGAAAGGGAAGTGTGCAGGAGCATTCTGTTCTGTTGTTGCTGTTATGTCAGAAGTTGTTTTGTTTATTGCATAATCCGAGTCATATGGAACTGAACGTGGCTTATTAAGTACCTCTGAAAACATCCCAATCCATATTTTAATGTTTCCTTCTGGCAGAGCTGGGTAGTAAATGATTACATGTAATCTGGATTACATAATCAGATTCCAAAAATTAAGTTCTTGTAATTAGATTAATCAGACTACAGTTGCTATTTTATTGATTACATGATATTATTCACACAATAGCAATGAATTATTCATAATTTATATGCACTCAGAAAGTCTTCCAGTTTTGTGGACATTCACACAAAAAACAGTCACTAACAGGTGTCTAATTACACAGAAAACTGAGAGGCCACACAGCATCTGACCACTGGATTTACAAAATGATTTCAGTTTTAAGACATTTCAATATTGCATCAACTATTGATCAACACTAATTTATTTTTATTTGACTCATTCAGTGGTTATTTAACATGGTTTTGTGTGTTCACGGTTCACATGACATGCAGGTAAACAAATAAAATATTTAATCTTTTTTAGAAAGCGTGGTAACACTTTAGTATAGGGACCAATTCTCACCATTAACTAGTTGCTTAATTATTAACACATTGGCTGTTTATTAAGCACATATTCTGCATAACCATATTCTACATCCCTACACAATACCTAAACTTAACAACTACCTTAACTATTAATAAACAGCAAATTAGGAGTTTATTGAGGCAAACGTCGTAGTTGTTAATAGCGAGAATTGGTCTATAAATAAATAAAGTGCGATGTTTATTTCCATTGTTGTTATTTTAAAATGATTTAATTTGACATTTTTTATGACGTAATAAATTATTAGCTTTTCATTAAACTTACAAACTCCCTGCAGTTACTTCACGAACCCCAGTTTGGAAAACTTTGACTTAATGCAGCCTAATGTTTAATTCACTTCATTTTGCTAATAACAAGGAATAGAAGAGGCCTATATTTTCTTTGTATTTTTATAGCAATATGGTACAAGATTATAATATTTAAATCAATGTGATAAATGAGTTGGGTCAGAAGTAATCAAAAAGGAGTCTGATTATATTACCTAAAATGTGTAATGTAATGAATTATGTTACTAACCAGAATTTTTGTCATGCAATTTGGAATCAGTAATGGACTACAATTTTCAAATAATCTACCCAGCTGTCAAAACGCCGTAAATCTGACTTTAGACCTATACTCTAAGAACTGTCCAAACTGACATAAGAAGAGTAAATTATTAAAACACAGTTTAGAGGGTTTGCTTGTATGTTTATGATATTTACCAGCTGCATTATGGGAATTGTAGTCATGCGTCGGGACGCAGGCCGTGACGCATGAATGTTGCGTCTGCGGGGAAGATGGCGGACTCAGTAGCGGCTGGACTTGCGGACGAAAACGAGACCGAAAAAGAGGATAAGGAGAGGGAGAAACGACTCTTCAGCGGCGTCAGAAAGACGGAGGAACAAGCCGCTGCATCAGACCTCACAGAAACTCTGGGATTTTACGAGAGGAAGGCGAAATGCAAAGAGAGAAAGAGCAATGTGTCAGGTACGAGTGACAGACAGCGGCTCTGTACGCTGTTTTCAACCTACTGTATATAGACAGCATGTTTGGGCATCATTGTCCAACACATTAGGAAGATCTAGGTAGGCAGTGTTTGTTTTAAACGTTAGAACGCACCGAAATACTGTCTAAATAGACAGGGTTTGAAACAGACACACATAGAGCCGTTTGCATCAATACTGTCTGAAGCATCATCAGTCACTAGTGCTTATTTAACGTTACCTTTAACGAGATCAGATAGCTGGGCGTCCATCGGTTTATTTAAAGGGACCGTAAATACCCGTGTGGCTCACGTGACCCATTCAGCCGTCGCTTGTATAATGAGACCAACTTTAGAAGCACGAGGATCAAATCAGCTGATTAGGTGTGAAGATGTAAATAAAGACCTGAGCTGCATCAGCATCTTCCCTGAAATCAGCCCCATCATTAAAGGGGTCATATGATGCTTTTTTAAAGATCATTATTTTGTGTATTTGGTGTAACAGAATATGTTGACATGCTTTAATATTCAAAAAACGCATTATTTTTCAAATACTGTACATTATTGTAGGCCCGCCTCTCTCAAACGCTTAGTTTTCTACAAAGTCCCTCCTTCCGACAAGCGCAGTCTGTTCTGATTGGCCAGCTGACCCAGTGCATTGTGATTGGCTGAACACCGCAAGCACTCGTCGGAAATGTAACGCCCCTTACCATAATCACGAGCTTCATCTTTCAAAAGGGGGAAACCTGTATATACAGACTGAAAACCCATATACAGTGTTTTAAAGCTATGATTATTGAAATAATAACTTAAACTCTCAAGGGGTACTTCATGTAAATATGTTTTGCCAAAAGGTGTTCAGTTGGCAAAAAAAGTTCCTGAGTTATATAGAACACAGGAAGCCAAACTGTATCCAAACAATCTCATTTTAATGTATGAAACAAGAGCCTCTTTTCTCTATTGTTCCTTTTTCTTGTCAAAAGCTTGTAGACGTTGTCATGAACTCATGTTCACTGGATATTACATTTAGTCATTTTATCATACAACTCAGTTACAAGACACTTAAACACACAGCAGAAGCTGTTATCTCTCTAGCTCTCTCGCTCTTTCTGTCCACTCTCTGTTTGTTTTCCCATTCACTGTGTTCATCCTCAAGTGTACCCTCAGTCTCTGTTACTGTTAAAAATAGAAAGTAAGTACTGTGTGTGTTGGCCACAGAACATATTCACAATGTGTGCTGTTCATCTCAGGACACTGTCTTGCCCTTATCACAACACATTTGGCCTTAGGTCAACCTAAACATGCCCTAAAAGCAGTCCAGCGCTTTCTGTGCTTTTATGTCACTTAGCTGCCCTGTTGTAAATCAAGTGTGTACTACCATCATCACACAACAACCGTGTCAACGATGTTCCTAATCAAATCACAGAACTTTTACTGCTGTAGTATTATAAACATAATGGGAAGACAATGTGCTTATTGTGGATTTGTGAGAAGATGTAGTTTTTAGGTTTGGACAATGATGTCCACATCTGGAAAATCTGGGATTTAAATGTAAACGAAGTTAAAAGTTTTGAAAAATGCAAACTAAACAATTTAGCTAAAAAACATATGCACTTTATCGCTACTCGAAAGAAAGGGCTCTAAATGAATAAACAGGCAGCCTCAGCATTTTGTTTTGTTTCATTTTTTTTAGTTTAGTTTAGCTTTGCTTTGTTTTAACCTTTCTCCATTATTGCAGATGGTTGCAAACTAGGGTTGCAAAAAGGTGGAAAGTTTCCAGCAAATTTCGGAAACATTCCAGAAATTTTGGAAACTTTCCAGGATTTTTTGGGAATATTCCAGGGATTTTTTTGGAAATTTTCCACCCCTTTGCAACCCTATTACAAACACTGAATTATTTCAGTGTTACAGTGAACACAGCATGAGTACTAAATTAACCTGCAATTTAAAACAGGTTTTAAAATAGAGTACAATAGACAGTAAATTACTCATTCGTTTTATTAGTAAATGATCAGAATTATCTAAAAATTAAAATCTACTATCTTATATTGGGAAAACTAAATTCTAAAATCCTAATTTATTTTTAAAACAAGTGGACTTAAACTTCTGAAACCCACGTTAGGTTACAAAAAACCTCAGTATTTTTTATAGCGGAAGATGATTTGCTGTGTGTATATGAGAGAAATGGACAGGGGTTTATGCTCGTACACTTGTTTATTCAACCTCTTTCTTTCACACACTCATGTGTGTTTACAGGATACAGGATAGTGCTAAATAATGAGTAAAATGCTTTCATTGTGCTGGCCTACGCATTCATGTGTGTGTTTATTTGTGTGTCTGTGTGCAGATCCCTCTCTGGTGAGGTTTATCAGTGCTGAGTTGACTAGAGGATATTTTCTGGAACACAATGAGGCCAAATACACCGAACGGAGAGAGAGGGTCTACACCTGCCTGCGTATCCCGAAAGAACTGGAGAAGGTACCAAACACAAACGCATAAAACTACAATAACTAAATAAAATAATACATGCACTCATCTCTTCAGCGCAGCATCCTTTATTTCACTGTGCATTAAAGCTGATGTGTTTGATTTATCTGCCACCAAACAGTATTACAAAAAATTAGATGTATGTATTATTAATGAAAAAATATTTTATGAACACATTTGTGTCCCAAACTCACTCCATTGGTTGTTGTGTCAGGGTTCTTAATAAATAGTGATATATTTTTTTTAAATGTTAAACAAGTTTAAACTCAAATGTAAAAATATAGATTATATTTTCAATATAGTTTCATTAAGATTATAGATTAATTATACTGTAAATATAATTGAGTATTTTTAATAATATTTAGTAAAACTTAAAAATGTATTTATTTTATTGTTTTAACAATTTAAGCTGGATGACATTATTTCTGATATTGAAGGAATGGATTAGTGATGTGACACAATTATGTCACATAACTTCATTTTTTTTTTTTAGAATATAAAGCCATGAAGTCTAATTTTCTAAAGATTTATTTTTATTTTTATTATTATCGGTGTTAAAACAGTGCTGCTGCTTTATGTTTGTGGAAACTATTACAATAAAAAATGGAAAAGAACAGCATTTATTTAAAATAGAAATGTTTTGTGACATTATAAATCACTTTATGTAATAAAAGTATCAATTTATTTGATTAAAAAAAACAATCTGACCCCAAACTTTTGAAAGGTAGTGCATATGCTATTATAATAGTGTAAAATTGAATTTTTTTTAATAGCTCAGATTTACACAAAAATACCAATGCACATGATTTACCCGCCAGGCACTCTGACGTTGTCAGATTAGCATTTTTGCCAGCTATTTATGTGCAAATAGCTATGCTATGTGCCTGTGCCATTTACATCTATAGCAAATAGTCACTTAAAATACGATTCTTGAGCCTGTGAATGTAAAGCTTGCTGTATTGTTCTTGTCAGTAATCCACTGCAATGGATTGCTACTATTGGTTTCTCTAATTACATTTTATGATTTCAGCATATTTATGTAAATCATTATGTGTCATACCAAAATAATCAATCATGAATTGTTACCAAGTTTCATATTTAATAATGAAATTAATAACTTAGCAATTTAAATAAAACAATACTAAATGTTTCAATACTATATGTGACCCTGGACCACAAAACCAGTCATAAGGGTCAATTTTTCAGATTTTTTCAGATTTTCTAAATAAGCATTGATGTATGTGGATTGTTAGGATATGACAATATTTGGCAGAGATACAACTATTTGAAAATCTGGAATCTGAGGGTGCAAAATAATCTAAATCTTGAGAAAATCATCTTGAAAGTTATCCAAAAGAAATTCTTAGCAATGCATATTACTAATTAAAAATTAAGTTTTGATATATTTACAGTAGGAAATTTACAAAATATCTTCATGGAACATGATCTTTACTTAATATCCTAATGATTTTTGGCATAAAAAGAAAAATCTATAATTTTGACCCATACAATGTATTGTTGGCTATTGCTACAAATATCCCCCAGCGACTTAACACTGCTTTTGTGCTCCAGGCTCACATACTATATATTAGAAAACTGATCTCATAACATCTGTCTGTGGGTCATTTACACTGCTGATCTTGTGTTGTGAAATCTTTAGCATGATGCACGTACCACTGAGTGTGTGACTCAAGATCACTAACCCAGTGGCTGTGTGTGGAAGAAGATCCTACTAATAGAAGAACTAAAAGAAGTTCCATTGCATAATTCCAGATGTCTATGGAGCCAATTTAACCAGAAGATGATTTTTTTTCTTTGTGTGTGTATGTATGTGTATGTGTGTATTTGCAGTGGATCTCGTATCTTGCAGCCCGCTCAGGTGTGTGATGTTCTGAAGGGTGTCATTATGGTTCTGTGTTATTTCATGATGCATTATGTGGATTATTCCATGATGTACCACATGATCCGGGGTCAGTCTGTCATAAAACTCTACATCATCTATAACATGCTGGAGGTACAGTATCACATCACTCACATTTGTTACTATTATATTAGCAGTAGCAGAATGAACACTCTCTCTTTTTCTCCTCTAGGTGGCAGATCGCTTGTTTTCATCTTTCGGTCAGGATATTCTGGATGCTTTGTACTGGACTGCCACTGAACCGAAAGAGAGGAAGAGAGCTCATATAGGAGTCATCCCACATTTCTTCATGGCTGTTCTCTACGTCTGTATCCTTCACACTAGCTCGGTTTCAAATGCCAATTTGGATGCAAGCAAGGAGCATTTTATGTAGGTTTAAAGAATTAAATATTCAAACTAATTCAAATGATAATAATACATTTTCATATATTCAATATATAGTATAATTCTAAAATTAATACTAAAATTGAATACACCAATAAATACAAAATTAAAGTTCTGCGTGAAATCTATCTAATGACTTTAGTGCTGTCAAACGATTAATCGCGATTAATCGCATCCAAAATAAAAGTTTTTGTTTACATAATATACAGTATGTGTATACTGTGTATATTTATTAAGTGTATATATAAATACAAACACATGCATGCATATATTTAAGAAAAATATGTTATGTTTATATATTAAGTATATTTATATATAATATAAGAATATAAATATATTAATGCATATACATGTAAATATTTTCAATATATATACTGTATGTGTGTGTATTTATATATACATAATAAATAAACACAGCACACACACATATTATGTAAACAACTTTTATTCGAGATTAATCGTTTGACAGCACTAAATGACTTTAAAACTGCTCAATGTTATTTTTAAATTTTTAATTTCAATTCAAGTTTTGTGTCATATTTGACATATTACAATCAGTCATAGGTTATAACTTTCCTTAATTAATAATGCAGTTCTGCATGCCATTCTGATTATGGTTCAGGCCACCACACTGAATGTGGCTTTCAATTCACATAACAAGTCGCTGCTCACCATCATGATGTCTAATAATGTGAGTACAAGCACAGCTAGCATGCCAGTAACATTAAATGAAATACACTCCAAATGACATTAATCTCTGCATGTTACATTATGCAGGAACAGAAACTTTTTGTAGGGTCTATACTGATGTATGTGTTTTTCTCTGTGTAGTTTGTTGAGATTAAAGGAAGCGTATTCAAGAAATTTGAGAAAAACAACCTCTTCCAGATGTCCAATAGCGGTAGGTCCATATACTGTATATTTAGCAAATGAAAACATGTCTGTCTCAACTTGTCACCGATGAATTGTCTCACTGTTACTTTCTGTCTTTCACACTATAGACATTAAAGAAAGATTTACAAACTACACACTCTTACTAATCGTCTGTCTCAGAAACATGGAGCAGTTCTCCTGGAATCCAGGTATCTCTAATTAACAGCTGACGCATTTCAGTGTGTGCATATACATGAGATTGATGTGTGTATTAATCATTGATTATTGGTCACAGATCATCTATGGGTGTTGTTTCCTGATGTTTGTATGGTGATCGCCTCGGAGACTGCAGTGGACGTTGTCAAACATGCCTTCATCACCAAGTTTAACGACATCACGGCAGATGTGAGTTGCATGCTATACCAGCCTCAAAATACTGGCAGTGCCATAGTATTCTTCAAACGGTAGTATCGTAAATACGATATTTAAGTAGCTACCAGGATATGCATTATACCAGGATTTTTAGCTTAACCAAAATGTGGAAAAAGACGTTAAGATGTCCGCATCAAAAGAAATTTACAAAAGTGATTATATGTCCATAGAAAGCACATTAAATGTAAGTAAAGTGTCTACTTTTAAGGTTTTGGAAATTATATAGTTACATTGTCATTCTGTGTAATACAATATTTATGTAAAAATTCAAACAACATGCTTATTCTGACTTGTACATATTAAAATATATAAAAGAATAAGGGAGCATATTACATTTTATTGTGTTTTAAATGAGTAAACATTCTTACTGACAAATGGGCAAAACCTAGGATAGTGGCAAATTAAAAAAATGTTTAAATTACAACTAATTAGTATTTGGGGTGAAAGTATTTAGTCTTTTAATATGTCATAAATTGATTTTTAGTTAATTGAGTTGTAAATATGCCTGACAAGAATGTTACACTGAATGACATTTTAGTGCGTGTCTTCTGTAAATCAGGGAAAAATGTATGATAATTAATTTATGCTCAGAAAAACAAAAACAAAATTGCAATTAAATTAAACCGAAAACTTTTTTTTTTAATTTTGGGAAAAACAACAACAATTTAAAGCAGTATTACACTTTAATGCCTTAATCTTTTTATGCTTAAACCCTTTTTCGTCTTTGACCCATGTACATGTGCAAGTTTGGCTTAATATTGTAAAAACTATAATATTGTGAAATTTTATTACAATTTAAAAGAATTTAGATTTTTTTGTGCAATATTTAATTCAAATAAATAATCATATTTAATAATATAAAAGTGAATAACAAAAATCACATCCATACAACATGTATCATCATACTACTTGTTATCGTGACACTTCTGCTGGTATTATACAGTTGTAATTGTGATTTAAAGGGATAGTTTACAATTTCGGGGGAAATTTTCTGTTAAGATATTGAGAACTTATATGAAGCAATGTAGGTAGATAAAAAGAGCATTGGATGAACGATCATAAAATGAAGTCCTGTAACTTAAATGCATTAGTGATGGAGGGCTTATTTTAAAGGGAAGGCTTGTAAGCGTTACCTAATGCTATTGAAATGACAAGACACTAATATGCATACGTTTATCTAGAAAAAAACTAAAGAAAACGACGTGAGAGGCATTTGATCTGGTCAGCAGCAGACAGAAGAATGTAAGTGCATGTCCATTTTATCATATCAGAAACCCTTTTGAAGCAGAACCCTGAATGTCAATGTCAAATTATTTTAATTTCAAGAAGTGGCTTGTCTCCTCTTGTTCATGGTTCTGATTACATTGACTTCATTTGAAGAGCATTTCATCCAGCTTTATAAATCAGATGCTGATATTTGTGTGTGTTTTCCAGGCATACACAGACTACAGTGACAGTGTGTCTAGGAGGATGGGCTTCATTCCTCTTCCTCTTGCACTACTGGTAACCTGCCTCCTTATTGCATAATAATCACAATGAATCTATCGCACAGTACAATGTAAAGGCAAGAACATAAATCCTTACATTGTTTGCAATCATTTGAAATTCATCATTTTGTTGCACTGCTCTTGTTAACACGCATTACTGTCATATTTAAAGTCTGTGTAAAGGCAATTCAGAGAATCGTTTCTAAACATATTATAAATATTAGAAATGTAATGCAGAAAACACATTACAAAGACTGTGAACTATGTAGTACTGATTATGAAGCTATGCCTTCGTCACGTAAGAAGAGGTGGGTTCATTTTGTGAAGAGCCACCTTGATGGAGAGCTGAGGATCCCCACCAACACCACCAATAGTTTTACAAACTTTCATCGGACACAACTGGGATTCACCGATAATCTGCTGTTATTGGTGAATGGGGCCGAATGCACGATCATTCAAATTTGCAATGCAATTTCAAGTTTTCCTTTCTCTTTGGAGTGTTACAAGCTGTTCGTTAAAGTTAAGTCTCGTCCACACCCTCCTAAAACGCCTCGTTTAAACATGCCCCCACATGTCACTGTGTGGGAAGATTTGCATAACGCCGCCAAAATGTTCACGCAAAGAAAGAAGGCGTAACTTTGATTCTCGCTGTAGTATTGTTGCTGCTGGCACCATGCCGTGGAGACGCTGTGTTTCGTTGTGAAAGGGAAACTACTTTGTTTGGTCTTCCAAAAGAGGACACAACTAGAAATCAGTGGTTAAGTTGTATTTACAACACTGTTCCAGAACACTTCAACCCAAATATTCAGATGTGTGCAGTGCATTTTACGGAGGACTGTTTCCTGAACCTGGTAGAGTAGCCTACCGTCTGTGCACAAAGGCTGTTTCTATAAAGTGGGGCAATTCCAACTTTGCAAGGACAGTCTGGCGCTTCTGACTCACAGCCTGTAAGTAAGTTTTCATATTTAAAGAATTTGCCACTGGCGATTCAAACGCGAGTTTTGAGCAGTGTAGAGTAGCGCTTGTTGTTTGTCATTTCTCCGATCACAAATGCAGACATGGTTTAATGTTACGCTGCGCGATACGCAACACGATAAAACCGTATTAAGTCATTATAATCCATAATTATGTCCCCACAAATGCCTCGTTTATAATGGGTTTTATTGGTTTTGTCTTGTCAATGTGTTTTGTTAAAATGAAGGAATTAAATATTTTCCATTTAAAGATGGAAAGTCTGTTTTTTCCCCCCTCAAGCGTTTATTGCACAGAGAGTAGCGTATCAGTTGAACGATCATACATTGATGCTGATGCTAAATAGTTAATTACCAACATTCCAAACGTCAGAATCTTGACCAAAGCAAAGCTGAATTTACAGCCTTTTGCTAATATCTTGGGTGTATATAAAAAAAAAAGGCCTGTTGACCCCAAATAAACAGTTTTTATAGGTCAATGAGTATCAGAGTCCAGTAATGTAAGATATGAGTCAACGTTTCAGAATAACCTATTTATCAGTTAACGGTCACATCTGTGAATGTCCATGATCAGTAATATATGCCCATGCATCATGTATAGTGCGTTATCATCATAGACAATAATTCTTTGTACATTTGATTTGCATAACAGACCACACTGTCTTAAAAAATGTACTTTGTAAACCACTAATGTCTCTTTGTAGTGCTGGATGTCAGAATTTAAGTTTTTGTTTTCTTTCTCTCAGTAATGACAACTTGTTTTGTTTTTCTGTTTATTGTTTATTTTTGACTGCTTTTGGAATTTGTATTTCTTGTATTACAAATGTGTGGCTATAATGGCTTTGCTTTGTAATATCATCATCATGGTGACCATGGTGGCATGGTCGTATTGTGTAAGGTGCTCAGTTTTTTTCAAAAACAAAAGGTCGTTTGATTTTAATTATCATTTAGGAAGATTATCACGTGAAAATATCAACTATGCCAAGGAATTGTTTACCCTCAGTTATCAAACTAATGCAAACTCACATTTTTCAAAACCTTTTCAGAAGCATTCACTTGACTTAAACTGCCAAAATGATATCAGCGAGCATTTCTCACCGTTTTTACATTCGAAGCACTGATGTTAGAAATACTTCTGCTTCTTTTTGAAAGAAAGAGAGCATTTTAAGCAAATGTTTGGTTCTGTTGTGCTTTTCAGTGTAACTGCCTGTGCTTTCCCGGAGGTTCAGTCACCTTTTGGCTCTTGAAATAAGGCTGAAGTTTGGCTGTGCTGGATATGGATCAGTACTGCTTGATTGAACCTTTCTAATTCATACTCGTATCCATTTGTTTGGAAAAACATTCAGATCCAGCCATCCCGTTCTTTCCACACTGCTGGACTTCACTGCTGTTTTCTCTCACTGGTCAATATCAGTTTGTTGTTTTCGGTGTGTTTTTGTACCCATATCGGCTTCAGCCTGTAGAAACTGAAGAGGAATGACGATGTCAAATCCCTTGTGTGGGATGTTTCAGAGACAGAATTGGGGAGAGGAATCAGGGCATTGTGTTAATTAAAGTTTTGTTGTTTTGTACCTTGTTGTTGTGGTTGTCGTTTGTTTAGGGTGGAGCCTTAATATGCATTTTCATGAAGAATTATAATCTTATTATTATTACTATATTAGTTTATATGACACCAAGTGTGTCAGGACACCCCTAAACATCACATGCACAGCTAAAACAAGTCCAGACCGAATTAATTAAATCCAACCACTCCGACCCCAGGCCAAAAATAGTCACCTAAAGATGATGTAACGCTAAACTGATCTGTGCTAAAACCATAGAGATCTAAACACTAAACCGATTGAGATTTTGACTTAGAATGTGTGTAAAATTAGATCTAGAATGAATGAATACCGCTATGAGACAAGTCTATTTAAAACCGGATTAGATATCTCAAATTCTGCTGAGCTGATGTACAGTGGAGTTCAAAAGTTACTCTCACGTTTTCGTTATATTTCTTGTAGTTTGCTCTCCATTTGCTTTAATAACAGTAGCTCTCACGCTTAAATGAACAAAACATACTCATTCTCACAAATTTGCTTATTCATTTTGCTCTGTGATCTAAAAACAGACATGCACAATGTAGCAGTTTCTTCCTGAATGGACCAGAACGCAGGGTCTTTAGACAGAGTCTTTACCTATTCAACTATAACTATTTTTAACCGGACACGCAACGGTTAGTGGCAAATTCAGTCAAGCCAATCACAGTTAAGATAGTTATAGTAATTTGCAGAAGAGCAGAGAGATGTGCAGTGAGAAGATATGATGACATATGTTTTGATTTTGCCATTTTTGTAATTTTGTAACAGGGCAATAATAATAATAATGGATATCCAATAACAGTTAGGCACAAAGGTGTGATTTACGTATACACATATATTTAAACAATCTGCACTACTAACATAAAAATGAATAATAGTAAGATTTAAGGAATAAATGCTAAATTGGCTTGCCATAAAGAAATGAATTGAAAATATGTGATATGATGTATATTATTATGCCTGGCTGGCTCATGATTTACCATCATCCATTTGCTGTCTGAACCTGCAGAAAGTATGGATATATTGGAATGGAAATGATTACTATTCACCGGATAAGACTGCACTGGTTTTGTTAGCGTACTGTTTGTAGTAACAGTACAGTTTTACTACTAATAGAGTTCATTAATCTACAGATTTCCAGGTGTAATTCAAAAAGAAGAAGGTGTTTGGTTTATTCAATGAGGTAATGAGGAGTGCATAGAGACTGGAATTATGTAGAACTGTTACATTGCAATGTATAAGTGAGACTGGATAATTCACCCAATTTATCACAAGCCACATTTTTATTGGGGCAGTTGGTCACATTTTATTGTAAATATCACAAATATTAATTTAAATGAATTATTTTTTGCTTTGCAATTCATTTAATTTTTTTGAAAAGTCTATAGGCTGTTTAATGGCAAGTTCCACTGTGACAACTTACCCTACACTTTAACCTTTTTTTTAATTATAATTTTTTTTTATTTGTCAAAGCTGTAAATGAAACTAACATTACTGGAATACATTTTTACAAGAAAATAGTTTTCCAGTCTTCAAATTTTCCCATTTAATTCAATATTACTTGCTGTTTCTTTGTCATTATTTGTGACATTTACTACCAATTTCTATATGAAAACTGTTTCAAAGTTAAGACTCTGCCACGCCCCCTAAAACGGCTCGTTCTAACACGCCCCCACATATCTACCTCACTATGTGGAAATATTTGCATAATGCACCCAAATGTGCACCTAATGATCTTAAAAAAAAAAATCATATGACCCCTTTAAGTCGCTGTGGTATATTTGTAGCAATAGTCAAAAATGCATTGTATGGGTCAAAATTATAGATTTTTCTTTTATGTTAAAAATCATTAGGACATTAAGTAAAGGTCATGTTCCATAAAGATATTTTGTAAATTTTCTACTGTAAATATATCAAAACTTAATTTTTGATTAGTAATATGCATTGCTAAGAACTTCATTTGGACAACTTTAAATATTTCGATTTTTTTGCACCCTCAGATTCCAGATTTTCAAATAGTTGTATCTCAGCCAAATATTGTCCTATTCTAACAAACCATACATCAATGGAAAGCTTATTCTTTGAGATGGTGTATAAATCTCAATTTCAAAAAATTGACCCTTAAAGATTTTGTGGTTTTGTGGTCCAGGGTCACATATATGGTATATGCCTACACAGAAATGAAATTTCAAAATAAACCTAGAGTTAAAAGTGTGACAACTAGTCCCAGTCTATTTAAGGTCAGGCTGTTGGCAGGTGGATTTCTGTGTGAGGTCAGCATGCTGAGCATAGAGGAGCGCTTGTGTGTGTGTGTGTGTGTGTGTGTGTTTAGAGTACAATAGGATTGCATGGTTAAGTCTCTGCTACCTACCAATTAGCCGATCTGCTGTATGAGTCACCTGCCCAATCAGGTAAGCTGATAATCTGAGTGCCATATGCTCCAAAGTTACACGCAATGCTCCTGACAAAACTTACAACCCAAAAACAACCATTTTGCAAAATGTCTGACTTTAAATCACAGATTGTAATGAAAAACAGCACATTATAAGAATTAGGATCCCATTTGTAACCATGTGTTTGTGGATTTAGAGACAGAAACACATCAAACACAAGCCACAAAGAGATATTATTCCCTCTGCAATCTCTTTAGTACCTCTAAATCATTCTTTGCAGATTTGTAACTCTTGAGTTTATAGAAAGGTACTCCTGATGTAGAGATGAGTCTGGATTAGTGGATTAAACAGCAGTAACATGCACATGATTCAAGTTAAAGGCCTCTATATTTGTCTGCAACTCTTTTTCCAGATTAGTCACAGGTTTGAACACAGTTGGAGTGTGTTGTCTGTGAAGGAATAGATGGATTTATAATACAGCTTAATATCACGACATTCATTCTGTCATTCAGCCTGGGCTTTAATCCGGGGACTCCCTTCGTCTCAGCCCAGATAAAGCTTAATATCACTGATCACTGGATTTAAAAAAAGAAACTGCACTGTAATCGAAGGACAGGAAGATCATCACTCAGATATGACCCACTTATGCTATTTTATCCATTTAGTCAATGTGTCTTTATTTGTACTGTACTGCTGTTGAAGAGAGTCGCCATTTTATTCATAAATGTATCTGCTTCAGCTGTTCCCATGTATTTGAGTGGCTTGTTGGATCTGTAAGAAAAGGAGGGACGGAAGCGAGAGTGTGTGAAAAGGGGATTGAGGATTAAATAGGAGACGAATGGGGTTTGGTAGAAGAAGGGAGAAAAAGGGGAAAGAAAGCATTAGAGAGGGAGAGCGACCGCTGAAATGGCCAACAGCAAGACCAGTGTAAGAGGATTAACCATATGCCATTATAACCAGTTATACCCTTTCCTCTTCACACAGGAATTCTCTTGTTCGCGTACACACTAATGCACAATTTGAGATATCTCACACACAAATATCTGCCTGCATAATTCTATAGTCAAGTAATAATATTAAGCACTCTCAGCCATCCCATGGATCCCCCTAAAATATAACTGTATATTTTGCTTGGATGGACAGAAATTCTGACAACAGAATATTATATTTTATCTACATATACTACTGTCCAAAAGTATGATTTTTTAATGTTTCATGTTCACCAAGGCTGCATTTATTTGATTAAAAATACAGTAAAACAATGAAATTGTAAAATATCATTACAGTTTAAAATAATGTATTTCCAAATGCAATTTATTTCTGTGATGCGCAGCTGTATTTTCAGCATCATTACTCCAGTCGTCAGTGTCACATGATCTTCAGAAATCAGTATAATATGCTGATTTGCTGCTCACGAAACATTTCTGATTATTATCAGTGTTGAAAACAGTTGTGCTGCTTCATATTTTTGTGTGGAAACCATGATACATTTATATATATATATTTATAAATATATATATTTTTGTTTTTTGGATAAATAGTTCAACAGTATTTATTTGACATAGAAATCTGTAACATTATAAATGTCTTTACTTCCACTTTTGATCAATTTAATGTATCTTTGCTGAATAAAAGTATTAATTTTCTTTCAAAAATCATACCAACCCCAAATATTTGAATGGTAGAATATATAGTACCTGTTACAGAGACTGCTGAGGCATTATTTGAAAGAGTTGGCTTTTGTGATAATGTTATATTGTTTTGACTGGGCAGGCATCTGTGATCTGTATAAAGCAGTGCTGCTATAGTTAGTGTTGTACAGCGCAGTCTTAGCCATGGTTTTATATTCTGGATCATGTTCTGTTGATCTCCCTGTAAGGTGTCATGCCAGAAAAAAACCCCTGCTAAACTTAGTACAACTGTGAAGAAGCTTATCCTTTTACGTAAAGGTGTTTTAGGGTTAAGTGTTTGTTTATGTTGGTGTGTAAGCATTACAATGCGCAGTTTACTTCTGCAGTACACAGATTTGCCACTAGGGGAGGAGACGTTTCATAGAGGACTGTAACGTTTATATTCACTCATAATATTGATAACATTCATGAACATAGGTTCTCTTTGTGTATGTTCGTGCATACACATGCACAAAAAGAGTATTGGAAACATGCATACTCACTAATGTTTAACAAACTCTCTCTACCTAACCATCAAACCATTATCCTTGTTGGGGCAATTTAATTAAATGGCATTTTTAGTAACAATATAAAAATGCATAACATTTTCTTGAAAGCTGAAAAAACCAGCATATGCTGGATAGGTATGTTTTGAAGCTGGGATGCTGGTTTGAGCTGGTCCTTTGCTGGTTTATGCTGGTCCTTTGCTGGTTTAAGCTGGTCATGTGCTGGTCTTAAGCTGAACCCAAAGGTTGTGGGCCAGCTCATGACCAGCTAAGGACCAGCATAAACCAACAAAGGACCAGCGTAAACCAGCTCAAACCAGCATCCCAGCTTCAAAACATACCTAACCAGCATATGCTGGTTTTTCAGCAGGGAGATTAGTTTCAGAGAGTTACATTTAATTATGTGTGAGTTTTCCACTGTTGCCATCAGTAACACACTCAGAGGTGAGGTATATAAAGGCTATGTTTAGCTCAGATGAGGTCAAACGTGATGGGTGAGACTGTGCCGTTGGGTATTAGGGTAAGAAGTACCTTGTAGCTTTTAAACCAGTTTTCAGTTCAGATGGAAAGGGGAAAAACATATAAATTATTCGTTCAGTCTCTACTAGCATCTTGTTAAGTGAAGGGCTTGTTTCAATAACAATCTCAATCAGTGAATTTATTTATTGGAGTAGACATCATTGATATTTATTGGTTACTTAATGCATATTTGTTGGTTTATGATAGCTATCATTTGTGTATAACCTAAAACATGAGCATAATCACATGTGTGTGTTGGGAGATTAGTTTCAGAGAGTTACATTTAATTATGTGTGAGTTTTCCACTGTTGCCATCAGTAACACACTCAGAGGTGAGGTATATAAAGACTATGTTTAGCTCAGATGAGGTCAAACGTGATGGGTGAGACTGTGCCGTTGGGTATTAGGGTAAGAAGTACCTTGTAGCTTTTAAACCAGTTTTCAGTTCAGATGGAAAGGGGAAAAACATATAAATTATTCAGTCTCTACTAGCATCTTGTTAAGTGAAGGGCTTGTTTCAATAACAATCTCAATCAGTGAATTTATTTATTGGAGTAGACATCATTGATATTTATTGGTTACTTAATGCATATTTGTTGGTTTATGATAGCTATCATTTGTGTATAACCTAAAACATGAGCATAATCACATGTGTGTGTTACACAGAAATGTAGGCTGAGCAGATGGTTTGTAACAGATGCTAGCATACTGTAGCAATAGCATTAGCACTGAAAACAAGACTCTGATGTCACCGTACTGTTAACATAGCAACTAACAGACGCAGATCTGATCTGTTGTTTTTTCATAACGATGTATGACCATCTGTAACTGCTGTTTGAATCTAAGATCACATGTATACTGCTGTAGCTTCTTTATCCAAACAATAATGACCACTAAACTAATATCAACAGATCAATTAAACAACAGAAAATGGATTGTTTTATCAGAGTTACAGTAAGTGAAGAAAGACAGACAGAGGATTTATTTGATTGATTTGATGAAGTGTTTATCATGGTATAATCATAACAATCACATCATATTTTTCATTTTTTTTCATTTTTCATATTTGGGGAAGTCGTGGCCTAATGGTTAGAGAGTCGGACTCATAACCCAAAGGTTGTGGGTTCGAGTCTCGTACCGGCAGGGATTGTAGGTGGGGGGAGTGAATGTACAGCGCTCTCTCCCACCTTCAATACCACGACTGAGGTGCCCTTGAGCAAGGCACCGAACCCCCAACTGCTCCCCGGGCGCCGCAGCATAAATGGCCGCCCCCTGCTCCGGGTGTGTGTTCACAGTGTGTGTGTGTGTGTGTTCACTGCTGTGTGTGCGCACTTTGGATGGGTAAATGCAGAGCACTAATTCCGAGTATGGGTCACCATACTTGGCCACATGTCACGTCACTTCACTTCACTTCATCATATTACTGTCACAGTTCAGGTTCATTTCAATAAATCTTTCTTTCTCACAACGTAATTTACACAGAGGCACTTTCTTGTCAATCCAGCCCCATGAATATGAATGAATGTTTGAAGGGTTCTCAAATTTCTAGTTTATGGTAACTAAAATATTTAGTTTTCTTGATCTTGTGAGCTAATCTGGTCAATTTTCTGTTACAGATCTCATTGTTAAAATGGTCCAGCAGAACATGGGAGGAATCAAAGGGGACGATTACAAGAAGGTGTGTGTTTGTTTTGTGCCACACTGTATATTATACAGGTGCATCTCAATAAATTAGAATGTCGTGGAAAAGTTCATTTATTTCAGTAATTCAACTCAAATTGTGTTACATGTGAGCCAAAATCATCACAAGTAAAAGAACCAAAGACTTAAACTACTTTAGTCTGTGTGCATAGAATTTATTTAATACACGAGTTTCACAATTTGAGTTGAATTACTGAAATAAATGAACTTTTCCACGACATTCTAATTTATTGAGATGCACCTGTATAATAAAATAAATAAATGTATATTGCATTTAATAGCTTGTATGGAATCACATGTTCCAAAGTCACTTTCTTTCTCTTTATCTTCGGCATGCACACTAATGATGTCTCTTCAACTCTACGACAACGCAGCCAGAGAATGTTGTATTATTACTACAGGTACTGTTTAAAAGTGAACTTACTCTTCATGCCCATTACTTGCACTGCCACTCTTGACATTTTAACTACAAAATGTTTATCGTTTTCACTCCAATTTTTTTATTTATTTATTTTTAATGCAACATTTGAAGTAATAGTTATCTGGGGAAGCTTATTTCTGCCATGGGATAAAAATTAAAAAAATGTAATTGCAAATTTTAATTTGTACAATTCTGAATTTTTTTCTCTATTCTCAGTTTATATCTCTGAGAGAAAAATAAAATCAGAATTGAGAGATATAAACTCAGAATTCTGACTTTTTTCTTGCAATTCCGAGTTTATATCTCACAATTTTCTTTTTCTTTTTTCTCTGAATTCTAAGTTGGTATCTCACAATTCGGTTTATTTTTTTTCCACCATGGAATAAAAAAAATAATACTACGACTTTAGTAACTGCGACTTTTTATCTCACAATTGCTAGTTTATATCTCACAATTCAAACTTTTCTTCTCAGAAGTTAAAATCTTGCAATTCTGACTTTTTTCTGGCTCAATTCTGACCAATCTCTTCTTAGAATTGTGAACTTATATCTCGCAATTGCTGGTTATAAACTCACAAATCTATATCTCACAATTCTGAGTTTTGCAGAATTAAGAGAGAGTTTTGAGAATTGAAAGAAAAAAAAAGCCAAAATTGTGAGATAAAAAGTCGCAAGTACCTTTTTTTGTTTTTTAAACCGTGGTGGAAACAAGCTTCCAAAATGATCAAAGTTATTGATATTTATAACTAAATATATGTGACCCTGGAGCACAAAAGCAGTGTTAAGTCGCTGGGGTATATTTGTAGCAATAGCCAAAAATACATTGTATGGGTCAAAATTATAGATTTTTCTTTTATGCCAAAAATCATTAGGACATTAAGTAAAGATCATGTTCCATGAAGATATTTTGTAAATTTCCTACTGTAAATATATCAAAACTTAATTTTTGATTAGTAATATGCATTGCTAAGGACTTCATTTGGACAACTTTAAAGATGATTTTCTCAATATTTAGATTTTTTTTTGCACTCTCAGATTCCAGATTTTCAAATAGTTGTATCTCGGACAAATATTGTCCTATCCTAACAAACCATACATCAATGGAAAGCTTATTTATTCAGCTTTCAGTGATGTATAAATCTCAATTTTGAAAAATTGACACTTAAGACTTTATATATCTGACCCATATATAAATTCCATGATAAAACATTTAGAGCAATTCAAGCTTTGTCATCTTCATTTGTGGCTTTTCTCAACAAATAATAATATATACGTTTAATCGTGATGAAATGCTCTCTCCTCTTCTCCAGGCTATCTACTATGAGTTGGGCTTCATAGTGCTGTCGGTTCTGGGGGTGATATTTGTGCTGTTCATGCCGGTCGTGGGCCTGTTTATCTGTGTGTGCCGCTGCTGTGAGAACTGTGGGGGTGAGATGCATCAGAGACAGAAGAAGAACGGCGACTGCTTAAGAGGTTTCTACATGGCCACACTCATGGCTACCTCTGTCTTCCTCGCGTGAGTGTTTGAGAACCTTTATAACAGTCTATATACGTTCCACATACTTGTAAAAGTGAGTCGTTATGCATGAAAGACTAATGATCATTTCAAATTTGTTCAAATGAGATTAAATTGGCAAATATTTGGTAAAAAAGTACTTGCTTAAATTCAGCAATTTTTGTGCATCTGATATGCTTTAATTAATTATTATGCATGTATAGAATACTGAGTATTCATACATCTTAATCATTTGACTTGGCGTTTTGCATACTTAGTAGCAGAAAAGTACACATATTTGAACACAGGGTTAATCATATGGCATTTACAGCTCAGATGATTGGTTCAAACGAGCAAAAATGGCAGATTTCAAATTACGATTTCGCATATGGGGTCCTGCGCTACACAATAGCATTGCTATGGAAAGAATGCTAACTGAAAGCCTTCTCCAGTTATTATAGACCTCCTTGGAAACTGTAGTGCAAGGTACTGTTCCCAGATTATATCACTCAATATTATATAATAAATATATTAAATATTATATACAAATATAACAATAATTTGAATAAATTATTTATTAAATTAAAATATTTACTAATATAATAAAAGTATTAATTAAATTACAAAATAGTTAAATACACTACTTTCAAATTTTGGGGTCGGAAAGTCAAAGAAATTATTTCTATTACTCAGCAAGGATGCATTAAATTGATAAAAACTGTTCCCATAGTATTCCACTCATTCACTCGGAAATTAAAATAAATAAAAGTGGAGTAACCAATTTTATATAAATAATATTATCATTAAAATATTTACAAATATAATAAAATTATATATTCAATTATATAGCAGTGTATATATACAAAATATTAATAATAAAATAGTTACAAATATATTATAATTATTTGGTAAATTATATAACATATATAATTATATAATATATCAATTTGATATAATTGGCCAGATTGGAAGTTCCAAAAGAGCCAATTGCCTGTTACACATTTTATGATATCCTCGGTTTTTTTTTTATTCCTGATTTGAAGTGTTATTTAAATGTTGTTTTAACATTTCTGATTCAAACTATATTATTCAAACCTGAGCAGTAAATGCCACAAGACTCCCTTCAAATATGTGTACTTTTTAGCTACAAAGTTTGCAAAAAGTCATATCTGAATGAGTAAGCTGTCTGATATCTCAGTATTTATGGTTCAATAGCTTGCATACTTGGCGTTCCCATAGAGTCATAGGGGCTAAGAAGGCTTCAGATTTTGGGGACCTGTTCAAATGTAATGCTGATTGGGAAATAGCTGTCAAAAAGCTTTTGAATGGTGAGAAAAGTGCTATTTGTGTCTAGATGTTTCTGCCAGAGGCTAACAAGGTCAAGCTAACTGTACCCTAAGCTTTAACCCTTGCATCACATTACTCAAACAGCATGACAACAGTACCACACTGTGGCTGTCTGATGTTACTGTATGTCAGTGACAGCAATATACAGCAGAGCAAGCATATCTACATTTTGAATATTTGTATTGAAATCACAAACTCCCTTCCTCAGAGTGTGTAGTGTTTCCATCAAATGTAATTGCTGCACTGGCTTTAATGGTGATAGATACGACCAGACTGTCTAATTTACTGTAATTCCAAAATCTACAATTTCACCAACATATCAGAGTGTAAGCATAACAATACCTGTAAGCATATTATTTCACACAGCTTACGCGTGCATGTTGCTTTGTTTACAGAGTGGGAGTGACGATCGCCTACGCAGCAAATCAGAACATCACAAATCAGATCAAGAGCACCAGACGCCTCGTCAGCACTAACATAAGAGACCTGAAATCTTTTGCGAACCACACACCAGTGGTAAGCCATAAACAGGTTCACATGGTGTGGTAAAATGTGTAAACAAAGCTTAAATTAAGTAACGCACTAACAAATTAGCAGATTCTGTGTGGGCCTAATCTAAAGCATGGAGACACGCACACAAACATATTCACACACTAAAGCTAAATCTGTTTGTCTTTGTTCTTTTATTTTATAGCAAATAGACTATCTCTCTGCACAGTACACAACAGCCAAGAACAAAGTATTATCAGACTTAGACAGTAAGTACTCTGTCTTTCTTCCTCTTTTATGTATCAGAGTGAACATTCACAAACGTTCAAAAGTTTGGGGTTGGTAAGTACTTGTGAATGTTTTTGAGTCTTAAATCCTCACCAATGGGGCGTGCGATATTGAAAAAATTTTTGAAATTTACTGGGATTTTTTCTATAAGGATAATTAATATTTTTCTGAGTGTGTTCTTGTGCTGGTACTTGCCTGTCATGGATAAATAAATATGACACTAACACCGCCAGTAGTCCCTGTCTTAATTAGTGATTCATTGAATCATTCATTCAAACGATTTGTTCAAAACGGCTGATTCATTTGGAGACGAAGCAAGTGAGTGTCTTTATGCATGGATCATTGAATCATTGTCTCAAATGATTCATTCATAAACATTCGACTTCTGATTCGACTTTGTCTGGAACTATTTTTGTTGGCAAAAATAAAAGGCAATATTGTGTCTAAAATCTCACCTGCTCAATATTAACTTCTTGTTTGATGAACTGTTGTATAAAATTAATATCTCATTTGCGATCACACTCACGCTCATGCGCTAATATTTAGAAAAATGGCACCGTGTGATATTACTTAACGATATAAATATAAAAACCAAAATCAGGGATATTTTGTGGGTGTGTAACTTGAATTATATGGTTATTCTAACTGATTCATCGTGCAGTGATTGCTTTTGGTCCTTCAAGGTGTTTTGGTGTTCAAGAAACATTTCTTATTATTATCAGTGTTGACAGTTGCATATTATTACTATCAATGTTGCTGCCTAATATTTCTGATCCATTTTTTCAGGATTCTTGATGAATAGAATGTTTAAAATAACTTATTTTGTACAATGTCAATGTCTTTGATCAGTTCAATAAATTCTTGCTGAATAAAATTATTAAACATTG